TTCCTCTCCTAGACATATGTATTATTACGATAGTAAATCATTTAGTTTAAATAAATTAAATACAAAAAGTAGTCATTGATTGTATTGTTGTGTATTGTGCGAGTGTGCATACTACATTTTGTATATTACGTACTATCATATATGCTTGCTATTGGTACATGAGATAGTATATGACACAACACATACACAAACTACATAACACTCGCATTACGCGAAGTCTATGTACAATTGATGCATATACTACATAACAACAATACCTAGATTGTACCAGACAACCAATTAAACAATGAATACCAAATCATTTAGAAAATACTCCGTAGTAAACTGGTTAAAGTACGAGACACCATTTTAATGTATCAATTTATGTTTCTACTAGATAAATGATTCTAAAATATCATGGGTAAATGTTAAGGTGGATTGGTTAGCCAATTTTTTTTTTTGTGGATTGTCTAAATATTTTATAGTTGATCGACATTAAATAGATAAATGGAGTGACTTAATGAAACCTCTTAATTTCATGGGACAAAATTGAAAATTGTTATGATTTCTCTAAAGTATATAGATCTTAAATTAGGGCAACTCGATGCATATTGGATAATGCAAAATGTAATGCTCTCAAATTCTTACCCAAAATATTTACTATAAAAAGTAATTCAATAAATAATTCTCCCAACATAATAGAGTTCAAAATAAAATACGTTGCACGGTAGAATAAAAAACAATGAGTTTTACCACCACACTCGGTTCTCACACAACCAAGTGCACATTCTAAACCATAATCCAAATTAAAACACAAGTGTTTTAGTAAATAGCCCCAAAACAAATTAATTTTCTCCATGTTCTTGAAATCCAAGTCAAAATAAATAAGTACTTAATAATAATAAAGTGCAAAAAGAAAGAAAAAGAAAAAAAGCCTTATAGCTAAGTAAGATACACTCAATCCTTAAAATAATATAGTTCGGTAAAAATAGTTTTTATACTTAGAATACTATTTTTTGAAAATACATATGTGGTTGAGGTTTAATCCCGTAGATCCGAAAGCCCAACACACACTTTGGATATTAAGGATGTAGGTTTGGGTCAAAAAGGTGTATAAAATATAAAAATGGTGGATTAAGGATGTACTCAGAAGCTACACTTGTATTAGGTAATTCTGTGATTACACTGAACTGCCCGAACGGTATGTCGGTATACGATCAAATACAAGAACAAGAGAGATAAGTCTATTGCTAAGCTCTGAGTATTAAAATGCTAACCCCTTACAATGTATTCAATGCAGGTATTTATATTAAGAGGGAGTAGGTGGGATGGTGACGTGGCTGAACTCGGTTGGCTACTGCCTCTGCCGCCTTTGCACATGCCTCCACTTGCTACCGTCATACTTCAGCATTAAATGCGGCTGCCACTTGCTGGCTACCCGGTTGGGGAGCTCGTTCGGTGTAAAGGACCCATAAGTGGACGCTTAATGCTGGCACTTCACTTGATTACTCCAAGTGAACAAAGTATCCCGAACACTGAACGGGCAACACCCCGATCGGGATGTCATGGACTTCTCTAACCGCTTTAGGCTCCCTGCTTCCTCTGGGCCTTTCTGTGCTTTGGGCTGGGCATGTTGGGCTTTGGCCCAATATCCCAAAAATATGCTTTCTGAAATGTTTTAGTTACGTTTAAAAAAACATTTAATAATTAAAATAAATTTATAAATGAAAAAAAGTTGCATAATTTGAAATCACATTTATAACTAAACATAGTATTTCTAAACTTTAAATAATCCACATCTCCATATAAGAGTAAACTATATCTGTCGCAAACCATTTCCTAATAATCGTTCACCAAAATCATTTATATTCTAGTTCTCCAGTTTCTTTTAATATAAAGGGGCGGAACTCAAGAGAGTAGTATTCGAACAAACCCCGCCAAACTATAGATGGGCAAAACTCAAAATAGTCCTAGATCGGACAAATGGATTTCAAGCCCTGATAATAGTAAGAAGCTCAAGTAGAATAGGAACTCCTACTATTGAGTATTGATCAAAGAGAGGAATGTTTACCAGAGCATATCTCAGATGTTTACGGGACCACATCTAAATTATTTCAACCATATCAAGTAGTAGTAGACATAGATCACTAGCATCATTGATTTCTTTGCATGGCAAACCACAATTTCATAATCATTGTTCATAGTTTGATTAGAATTATTTGATCTCAAGATACTCTCCAAAATATCTATTGTGTATATAGATACCAAAATTATATGCATAGTATATCATATTGAAAATCATAATTTTCAAATCCGGTTTAACCTAGTTCCCAATTTAAAAAAATATTCAATACAATATCCAAAGTAATCTAATAAGGATATTTTCAAATCGAGAATATATATATATATATATATATATATATATATATATATATATATATATATATATATATATATATATTCAGGATCACGTACAAACTAATCCTAATTTACAAAGTGCAAATTAATCGTGGCCATCCATAAAACTTAAATAACGGTGTGGATGATATAACTCACCCATTAACTGCATGCTCCACAATTAGTAAAGAGAAGATTAAAAACGGTTGCACTTATACGGCAAGATGTAGTGGTCTAAACAAATCCCACCTTTGATTTTATAATATTGGACGGATGAGATGATTTTGCATTTTGTATGGAAAGCATACTTTGTATCTGATCTCAACCCTATATATATATATATATATATATATATATATATATATATATATATATATATATATATATATATATATATATATATATATATCCCGGGTCGAATTTTTTGATAAAAGTTTGTGAGCATGTTGTCAATGAAAAATAGACTATGTCTACCAATTTTGATGGGCATAAACTAAACTTCATGAAGAAATTCTTAAAACAAGTCATCAAATAAATTACACTGTGAAGGCCCCCTGATAGGCAAGTTCGGACTGGTCTTCCCTTCAGAACTACCTAAGGTGATCATTACTATATATACGTGTGTGTGTGTGACATACATATTTAAACTATATAGTTCACACACGAATTAATTCCACAGTTTTCAAGTCAACAATAACAATTTCACAATCTATATTTTCGGCCATAGTGAATTAAGGTAATTAATTTGCCCAAAATTGCATGTTATTCACAATTTCAAGAAATTTATTATCCATGATAATCATTCATACATATTTGAAATTTCCATAAAATTTTACAACAAACACCAAATCACACGATGAGTCACAATCGGGGTAAAGTATAGATTTTTGTTGACATCGATACTTGCATCAAGGCTAGTAATGATTCTAAACGTGAAGACTAGAATACATATTCACAAATATGACCCTAGTAACAAATAGAGTTCTAAAATAATAATAGAATTGATTGGAATCGAATAAAACAATAAAATCGTCAGAAACTGAGCTTAAAAACAGATGATACACAAAGACAATTTCTTGACACTGAAATCCTCATTGGATGGATTTAGAATGGTTAAGCTAAAAAAAATACTCCTATGGAGTCAGTTCCAGGGTTCAAAGAATGAGAAAATTCAGAAATAGTGGTTTACTAATTCTACTTACATGTTACAATGGGCACGGTCCGCCCACGGGCTGCGCACAGACCGACACACGTCATGCGTGGCCCAGTCACCCGTGTGCGCGACTTTGGAAACAAGGTCGCACACACGTGAGGACGCACGTCGTGCGTTGCCTCCATACGGACCCTCCAGAAACTCCTAAATGCCACACACAACCCATGCGCACGTCGCGCGTGTTTCCGCGCATGACTGCAAAATCCATAACTTCGATTTTTGCTGCGCTTTCGCAACTTTCGACCTATTGTTGACCCAAACTGTAAAACAAACCTAATTAAGTCATCTAAGAACCTTCTCAACGCCAGTTTAACTATTTATTCCTAATTTTAAATCTTACAGTATCACACAAAGCAAGTGTCTGGGGAAGGGTCCCACTACAATGGAGTATAAGTGGCAAACATTCATTGTCTTTTTGACAAGAAGCCACTCTCAAAACTCAAATCTGTGACTTCTCGATCACATCACAACATTAAAACTGGTGTGCCAAGGCCCCTTCGCATATTAATTTTGAAACTATACAATGGCGCATACTACATTTGGATAGTAGATGCTCTTATATCCAACACATGCCACATAGAGCCGTCAAGATGGGTTGACCCCGTGGGCTGTTCTGTTTCAATCCATTTATTGGTGGATTATGATTATCATTTTCTGGTACGATTAATTCTCAGGTTTCGTGGATCAATCCACGCGGGTTGCAGATTAAGCAGGTTGGCCCGCAGGCCAAAATGAAAACATAATGTTTTGACTATCATGATCATCAATATTGTTCTTTTACTATCAAAATTTTTACAATTTTTTATTGGACGGATTATAATTACAACTATATACTTACCATTTTACAACCATTGCAAAATAATTACATAGTATTATTTCTATAAAAACTATTCAAATAAAATCTATAATAGTTACGCAATATTCAAATAAATTATTCAAACATAAATTTTAAGTGATCATATTTTTAACAATTAGTAATCATGATATACAAATATTCACTTAATAGATTTAAGTAGAATTTTATCTTTGTAAAATGAGCATTTTTAATATTCTTTGATTACAGGTGCTCTGATACCACCTGTAACACCCCGGCCCCGTGGGACCCGAGGTAGTTACTCCGGACCAATAGTACTGTCTTCACAAACCACCACGAGAAACTTCGCAGGGGGTCACCCATTCCAAGACTACTCTCGCCCAAACACGCTTAACTTCGGAGTTCTGATGGGATCCGGTGCATTAGTGCTTAACAAGTATTGTGTGCTTAGTATTTCAAAGTTACTCGTATTATTTTGTGCAAATTACCCGTAAGGTTTAGTTTTGTGTGATCCATATCTTTTATGTCCCAATTATTTTTCCTTTTCATTTTTAACTTTTGTTTTTTCAATTATCTTTATTTATTTCACTTTTAGACCTTCTCGCCTCTAGATTAGAAGTTTAGAACTCACGAGACGTATCTCCTGCTCTGGCCTCTGTGAAGGATCGAGAGCCGCTCTTCTCTCTTTTCTTTGGCTCTCCGTCTCTCCGGCATCTGTGAACATCGACGCCAATTCAACCTCAGACACTAATTCGTCGGTCGCTCGGTAACTTCGTCGGATCGCCGCACTGTAGCTGACGAACGAATTCCTCCAGCCCTCCTTAATTCGTTCGTTGTCTTCAAATCCGTCTTAATTTCTGACCTTGTAAGTTTCTATATAACCTAATTTTTTTAATGTTAATCCCAATTATATTCGTCAATTTGTAAACCTGCGACTGTAATTCCAAAGCTTGAAGTTGATTGTTTTGTATTGTTTGATATAATCTGAATTCTAAAATTGATTTATACGGAGTAAAAAATTGAGGATGCAGACGTTGAGTGTTCATTGATTATACAGAGTACTTAGTACGATAGTTTGGACAACTATTCAATTTGAAGAACTTTATGCCTGGCCTGGAGGTAAATGGGGATTAGAAGCACACTTAGTCAACGGCTAAAGTGTGTGCAAATTTGAAACCAATCAAGAACAGACCCAACTAATCCTCAACTCTAAACAACCTAAAGTATTACGGAGTATATGGAGCATTGACTGGCTAATGAACAACCTATGGTTACTTGAGAGAACTACAGAGTTGAGAAAATAGTACAAATAGTAAATTGATAACATAGTTGAATAATTGACTAATTGGCAAAGTCAGAGACTAGACTGGTTCTGTTTATGTGGCTAGAGGTGGATTCCTCTGTAGGCTGTAGCCAAAGAAGCTTCGTTTGTACTCCCAGTAGAGTCATCTTGCTTCTCTTTGGAGACTTTTGAAATGAAAAAAAAAAGGTTGGAGACTTTTGAAATGATGTGATTCAGACCGTAAAGGGCACGGAAAAGGAACTGACGATTTTGCTCTCTTCCTGTCTCACTCATTCTTTAAGAAATTCATTGAAGTGTTGTCTCTTCTACATCCTGCAAATCCATCCTTACTAATCCGAAGGGCTAGTAGCAATTGTAAGGTTGAAGGAGAGTAGGGAATATTGCTCACAGTCTTTTGTTAAAATAAAGAGCAAGATTGGTTGAAAATTAATTGTCAATCAATACCTTCTTTCAATTAAGTGAAGATTTTTAACACAACATTCCTTTGCTTTGCTTGCCTTAGCATTGTTCTTAACCTTTATTTTAATTTAACCTCTTTTTATTAGAAATAATAACTTCTTTAGGCTCCGTCTAAAAACAGAGCTCTATTTCAAGCAACTCTTACGAGAGTCCTATCCCTTGAAAAGCAACTCGTTTTCATGTGCCGAAATAAAGTTACAAGACAGTAAAAATGGTAATTTAGTTTAAATTATCACTTGTAATTGTTGAGTATATCCCTTTCATTCTCATTTTTGTACTACAATTCCATTTGATTTATTTAATAATGATCTATATTCAATGCTCATGGTCTGCTTCTGATTGATTATACATTTACAAAAGAGGTATATTCAGGTCGCATAGTCTTTATTCTTACTTGATGTAGTGGACTCAAGTAGATCAAAAACCTTCTTATCTCATTGAAGAGATTCCCGTTCTAGACTAAGGCTTGATAGGCCTATAGTCCATTCCCACTGAAAGCCACTGGTTACACATAAGTCATTGAGGGAAAGCATTCACTTGCTCTCCTATGAACGACAGACACAAGCTAGAGAAAGACAGCCAAACCCGAGGACTAGAAACTGGAAAGCACCTAGCTAGATACTCGCTATTGACAGAATACTACAACTTGGTAGAGGAAAAGTTTGCAAGTGGCTGAAGAAATGAATTTAGTTAATATATATGGTACAAGAAAGGTGTTACTTCAGAAATTTTGTTTTCTCATGCCTATAGAAATTTATAAATGGAATTATGTATTTATCATGGGAAACATGTACATGTTGTATATATTTACTTTGTTTCTTTTTGTTGCATTTTGTTTTGTTTTGTTGCAGTTTGTTTCGTTTTGTTGCATTTTGTTTTCTTTTGTTGTATGTTGTTGAGTTTTGTTGTATCTTGTTGCTAATTCTGGTAAATTATTGCTTTCTGTTGTTCGGTGTTTCTTTTCAAAAGCAATTCATCTATTTTAGCTACTTTAGCATAATCTTACAATGCATACTTAAAATTATACATTCAGATTTAAGAATATTAAATATTAAGAATATTAACAACAAGAAATATGAAGAAACAAAATAAAACAAAATTATAAACAAAAAGAAACACACAAAAATCATATGCAACAAAAACTAAAAATAGTATGATGGAGCAATAACAATTCGATTTTGTAACTATTTTTTTAAATAAAAAAAAGTTCTCTTTATCTAATTTTTAAATTTTTATCATTTTTTTTAATTTCCATTAATTTTTTTCCACATTTTTATTTTGGAGTTTTTTTTATTTTACACACATTTTTTTTACTTTAATCTTCTGACATTTTAATAATTTGAAGAGTATTATTTTATATATTTCAGTTTTTTTCACATTTTATTTTCATTTTCACTTTTTTCGAGTTTTATTATTTTACGTGATTTTAATTTAATTTTTTGATAAAAAAAAGTTTCTATTTTTATTGTATTTTACAATCTTTAATTTGATATTATTGAATTCTATCAAATTAAATTTTTTAAATTTTTTATTTTTTACTTTGTGGAGATTCTGTTTTAAATTTAATCTTCATAAAAAAATATTGCTTTTAATTTTTTCAATATTTTGAAAAAAATTTATCGTATTTTATATATTTGGTCTTTCAGGTTTTTATATTTATTTATTAAATTTTGAAATATTTTTATATTTTTTGATTTTTTTTTATTTTTATATAAAGTATATTAAGTGTTTTAAAATATATTTACAAAAACATATTGTCTACTTCCTTACAATTATATCCCACATTTTAAAAATTTAAACTTTTTGTGTTTTGAATTTATATTTCTAAAGTTTCTATACGTTTTGTTACAGTTCTTTGTTTTTTATTTAAATTTTAATTATTCTTTTTTATTTTAAAATTTAAATTACAAAACTTTCAATTTTGATTGTTTTATGCATGTTGTTGGACACATGCATTCATGATTCAACGGAGTATTGGGGAAAAGATGAACAAAAGTGGCCACTAGCTTGGAAAAAAGTACGCAATCTGGACTCTGGAGTAGATTTTTCATGCGACCATGCGGTGATGCGGCTGTTTTTGAAAAGAAAAACTGACTAGTCTGTTTTTGAAAACAAATTTTAAAAGTGAAAATAGTGATATTATTTTCCTTTGTATGCTTGTTTGCGAAAAAATCCCTATTATTTTTAGAGAATTTTGTCATGTACTCCGTATATTTTTGTACATTGACCCACAAAACGGCTCATTCTAGCCGGTTGGCCCAACCTAACCAACTTAAAACATAACCTATGACGGGATGGGCCGGGTCGGCATTGCCACATGGGCATGAATAAAGTCAGCAAAATGACACACATATGCCACGTCAGTTTATCTACACTTCAAACGTCTGTAACTGCACAAAATCGTCAAACCAAAAACCGTTGTTAGAAAGAAGACGAAGTAATGCGAGGCGAGAGAGGCAAACAAGAAATTCAAATGCCCTGAACTAGATTATTGGGGGCATCCGATAAGAACAGGAATTACGGAGCCCGTCGATCGGGTCGTTTTAGGGGTCGGGCAATTTTGGATCCGCAGAAATGATTGGTTGGTGCAATCAGTTGCGGGGCGCTTTTGGTGCTTCTTTTCTCTGGCTCGTTTGCTTGATTTACTTCACCCAGGTTCATTTCTCAATTGCTACTCCGTAATTCTGGGTTGTTAGGACTTGGGATTATTTGTCTGAAATTTAGGCTTGAAAAGGAACCTTTTAGGAGTTCTAATTCTATTACAGGATTTTTGCCATTACAATTCGTATGCTAAATGCTGCTTCTACGGTCAAATGTTGGTTATTGCCAGCTCCAGGCTCTAGCAATTTCTCTATTCCCAGGATCAACTAAGCATGTGTTTTTGTGATATACGAGTATTTATTTTACTTGCTAGCAATTTTTACGTTCAAAGCACGAAAACTTATGCCAAACATCATGAAATTAAACATGAATGTTACCGGTGCTGCAAAGGCTCCCACCTATGGTGGGGTAAGGGGGTCGGATGTACGCAGCCTTACCCCTGTGCTATACACGATTTCTCTTTATGCATTTAACACATAAACTCATAGAGACTGTTTCTGAATATGTGTGTGTGTAAAATACATGATTTAATTAAACACACAAGAGTGGTTGCTTTTGAGTCGAAGACTAACAAACAGACACAAATTAGCATAAGAAAAATCAAACCCTCCCCCAAAATCTATCAATCACACAAGCCTTTGGTTACAAAACCTGAAAACCAACATATATTTGGCATATATACACACAGACAAATTCTTATAGTCCCTATGGCATATTATTACATCACACCTTTTTGGAGCAGGGTTTTAGATCTTTTGTATGGACTGCAGTTTCGTATCAGCTGAAAGATGGGCTGAAATTATCGCCTTCAGCTTCCCAGTTTGTCTCTTCAGTGGCATTCTTTCCATGGAGTGTGAAACCTCTTTACGGGTGTGTATCTAATTATCTATCATACAACTTCAAATATGACTCGGTGATATTGGCTAGATAATATTTTTTATATGAAGATATTGTCTTATAACAAAGTAAGTAATAGCTCTTGTGAAATATTGAAAGTCAAGGTGTGTTTTCATGCAGAATTGTATCTGATTGTATCCCCATCAAAGGAAGGAAAAGAATTCCGTATCTCATACTGGCCACTTTGCTATCACTCCTTCCATGGCTTGTTTTAGGAACCAGTGAAACTCTTAGGACCAAAAAGGTGCAGCTAATGATTTTTCTAACACTGCAAAATCTGGGCTCGGCCATGGCTGATGTGGTAATTGATGCCATGATAGCTGAGGCTGCAAGATTAGAACGGTATGTTTTCTTGCATTAGCTGATGCCATAGTAGTACCATGATAGTAAATGGTGTTCGATTGTCCCAAATTTTTTCTCGTTTTTTGTTGAAAATATCTCACTTATCCTAAACATAAAATAAGAAACCAACTTATAAGCCTATGGATTAGTGATTGCTAATTCTATAAAGTTAACTCTTTAAGTTTAGAACCCCAAGGCTTAATAAAGTATTCTAACCAGGTTGACACGATGTCGTGATGTGTGGGTTATATGAGCCAATTTTCACGGACCAGACAAAGGTGCTTAGATGTAAGAGATGTTTTGTCCATATGAAAAAATGTAGTGATGTTGAAGAGTCTCCTATATCGGCTAAATACTCCCCATATCCTTATATAAAGATCCCTCTTTGAATTGCACACATGTTAAGGAATTTTTTTCCCTTAGACTTCCTGCAATACCCCTTTTACTGATGGGCAATTTTACTGTAGATTACTGTTTTGTCACTGTTTGGCTCTGCTTAACATTGTGCAGCCATTATTATTTAAGGAGTAAATTGATATAATTTTTTTACCTAATAGGGAAAGGTGACTTTATTTAATTACACTCATAATTGAAAAGTGAGAAGTTTATTTACGGAAGGAGGGAGTATAAATAACAAACTAACAAATAAGGCCTTAGGGAACTACTATTATTTAGATTTTGATGTTTCTCATGAATAGGGCTTTATTTGCGGGTGATCTTCAATCGATCTCTTGGATGGCAATGGCTTTGGGAGGAATCTGTGGGAGTTTGCTAGGTGGTTATGCATTAAACAATCTTAGGATGGATGAAATTTTTCTTATCTTTTCGGTTTTACCAGCAATGCAGCTTGTTTCTTGTCATTTTGTGGAGGAGGGCTCTACAGCTGCTAAAAGCTTCTCAAAACTTTCCACCTCAAACGGAACTCACCTGACGAACGAAAACATTGATGATAATTATAATTTCTCCAATGGGAAGTCTAAGGGTCGCGCATCAAGGAGAAAAAGGAGTCAGAAAGATACTGAAAATAGAACAGTTCAATCTGGTGACCTCGAAATTCCTGAAAAGGATGAATCATCCTTACGCCTGTTTCAATCCATCAAATCAGCAAGCTATGCTCTGTTCATGGCTTTCCGGCAGCCAATCATTCTGAGGTAACATACTGTTAATCTTTCTGCTTGCTATTGTATCCTTTTTTTGTTAATATGTTGGTTAATCCTATTGTTTGTGCTAATATTGATCCCTGGTTTCCATTTTCCCCTTATTTTGTTTCCCAATGATGGGTTTCTTTCAACTTTTCATCATTTTGGACACTTATATGGTCGATTGCTGCTTGTTTGCGTCACATTAGTGATTGGAAAGGATAAATTGGCAAAAAATCTATATTTGTGCACCAAAGTGTATAACATGAATGTCAAGGACCAAAATTGGGAATGACCTAATAGTTGTGGGACCAACAACACCCAAGCCTTAATCTCAAAAGAGTTTGGGGTGGGCTAACATGAATTGATATAATTGGATTTAAAAAAATAATGAAAAAAATTAACAAATAGATGAATTAATAACAATTAACAATAGCACCTGATCTGACCAAAGTTATGAAATGGACCCCCTAATGTGACCATTCAGTTTGCTTCATAACCTGACCATTCAGTTTTCTAAAGATGTTTTATCTTCCTTTAAACCTGCTGATTAGTTGTTTGATCTTACTGTGTTTGAACTCTTTGTTGGGAATCCAGACCAATGGCTTGGTTCTTTTTAGCGCATGTAACTGTCCCAAACCTCTCGACCGTAATGTTCTACTACCAGACAGAGGTTTTAAAGTTGGAAGCATCCTTTTTAGGGACAGCACGTGTCCTTGGGTGGTTAGGCCTCATGCTTGGAACCTTTGTTTACAACCAATACTTGAAGAAAATGAAATTGCGAAGAATTCTCATGTAAGCGGAAATACTTTAGGAGGTAATGGATTGTATGTTTTAAATCTAATTAATTAATTTAATTTTCTTGTTTGGTTTTGTGCAGGTGGGCTCATATTGGTTTGGCCATTTTGAGTTCCCTAGATATAGTTTTGGTTACCCGAACCAATGTATCATTAGGTATATCGGATAAGATATTGGTGCTGTTTGGGTCTGCTCTTGCAGATGGCATAAATCAATTCAAGTATGTCCAATTTCTTTTCACACTCAAATTTACGGACCATATTACATGTGTGTTTGAATATTTTATACATACCTTTGAGTATTTACATCGGTTGTCGATTAGCTTTGACTCTTTGAGTCAAGATATAAATATGAGGTAAACCTCACCTTTTCAAGACTCTTTTAGAGACCAATTTAACCTAATTTATACAATACAATGATGATTTGAGCCAAGACCATTTGGGGTTGGCTTGGACTCACCAGTTATCTACAGTTTTTGGCGAGTCTAGAGTTTACAAGTGTGAGAATACTTTGTTGGGTTAAGTTGAACTCCATTTAACAATTCAAATGAATGTTTGGTGGCAACTATTTAACTGAGTGAGTGTCACTATTATGATTGCAGGTTTATGCCATTTTTAATCTTGTCAGGGCAGCTATGCCCTCCAGGGATTGAAGGGACTTTATTTGCTCTTTTCATGTCAATTAACAACTTGGGCTCCACAGTGGGATCTTTTGTTGGAGCTTGGCTTGCTTCCGCCCTTGACATATCTTCTTCAGGATCTTTTGACAACCTCTCGATTGGCATTTTTGTTCAGGTCATCTGCACATTCGTACCGGTTGCTTTTCTGTTTTTGATCCCCAAGGATGCTACGGGGGTATCAGCTTAGTTCATTCATAATCATTATTTGTGTTCAGGCTGTATTGGCCGTGGCCGCCTACGCCACTCTCACCTTTTTTCTTCATTCAAACCACAGAAAATATTAGATACTGGAAATTCATAACCCGAACTTCATTTGATGTATACGGAGTATATGTATTTTCCATACAGAGAAAAGACTGTTAATTTTACAGTGGATCTACACATCAAGGGAACTATCCATTTGAAACTTGTTGACTTTTCCCACAGACCATCAAGAATAATTTCAAATTCCTTAAATGTATTGGGGTATTCAACTCAGACTCCTGTGAAGTAAAAATGTGCAGAGGAATTTATATTTGTCCATTAAAAGAAATATTTGGATTTCATCATGATTGATGAGGTCAGAGGATTCCCGAGGATCTATATTTGCTACTCCTAGTAGGGCTGGACTCGGTCCGGTTCGGGCCCGGTTCGGGCCTCGAACCGGCCGGGCCTCGGTTTGGAGAAGTTGGGCCCGGGCCCGACTTCTCCAACTTAAAATATATATATATATTTTATATATATATATATATATATATATATATATATTTTATATGTTAAAATATACATCTTTTTGGATACTAAAAAACAATCTTCAAGTGCATTTATGTGAAATAGGAATTACATTTGAGAATTGAGAACAATTAATTCTAATACATTTTGTAATAAGTAATAATAATATAATATAATTAATTGTAAGTTTCTAACTTTCTAAGTTGTAAGTTGTAACTTGATTAATTTGAGAAATGCGACATATAAAAAAATATAATGTATATTGATTTGAAATATGAATTACAAATCTACAAGTTGACAAATTACAATAGAGAATTGAGGATAAAATAATAAATTGTAAAATACTAATCAATCGGAATCCGGCATAGGTAGAACCACCCTCGGTTGATTCATCCATAAAGTCTTGGGAGAGGGTGATGCTAACTTCTTGAGTTCTACGTCTTGCCTTCAAGGCTTCAACCAATCGTGGTAGCATATAAGCGTCTCAAGAGATTCGGCACTCAAACACGTTCTCGATTTAGTTAGGACGTTGCCGGCCGAACTAAATTCTTGTTCCACGGCAACTGTTGAAACCGGCATTGATAGTACTTGCTTAGCCATCCGTGCTAAAATCGGGAACATTCTTTCTTTTGACTTCCACCACTTTAGGACGTCAAATTCTCCATTTTCTACAAACTCAACCTCATAGTTAGTATACAAAGCAATCTCATTAATTGTGCTTTGTTCAGTAGTGTGAGTTGTTTTAGTTTTTTTCATAAGATTGCCGAATGCAGATTTAAAAAGTGATTTTCCTTTAGATGAAGATGTTTGGGTCGGGGGAGGGGGCGCGTTGCCATATTGTGCACGAAACTCATTAAATAAAGAATAGAATAAACTACTAAACTCGTTGTATTTAGATTGCGGATCTATAGGGTTATCTTCATACATTGGAAAATCACCATAAAAAGATTGATAATAGAACTTGTAACATTATTCCAAATTACCAAGTTGAAAACGAGGATCGAGAATAAATGCAATACCATAAATATGCGGAATATGTGCATAATATTTTAAAAACTTTTCCTTCATAAAACCACAAAAATAGCTCACATAATCGGGCCGGTTAGAGCCGTTTGAATCAAAAAGGATTTTTTTTTAAAAAAAAAGAGCTGTTGGGCCCGGGCCGGTTCAAGATTACCAAGGCCCGAGACCAGACCGCCCTACCCCGGGCCGGGTAGGCCCGGACCGCCTGAGGCCCGCTAGACCGGGTCGGGCCGGTTGCTACAGTGGCCGGGCCGCCCGGCCCGAGTCCAGCCCTAACTCCTAGTAAGGATTCTTATGTGCTCCTACATTTCAGCAATAACTTGAAGGAGTCGGAGAATAAATGTTCCTTTTGAAGAATTATGTTCTAAAACTCTGAACAATTCATCTAACTGCAACTCCGGACTCTCCCCAATTCAATGGCATAGCTGAATGCAAAAAAAATAAAAAATCAAAACTCTTCAAGACATGATGAGTGCCATATTATGAACTCGATTTCAATAACTCTAGAATTTTCATTCATGATCAATGTTTATTCTTCTAATCTCGCACTGTGCATGAAAAAATGCTTTTTATACAATCTCAACTTACGAACAAATGCCAAAGTGGACCATTCTTGGTGTACACAAGATGTACACAAAATGTGTACATTGTCTGTGTACACAGGCAATTTGGCATCAACTCCTGCCCCAGTTTTAACGAATTGCCTGTGTACACAGGCAACTAGGGGGGTTTTGTGTACAACTTGTGTACAACTAATGTACACTAAGCATTTTCCAATGCAAAAAATGTTCTCTTTTTCACTACTGCATTGCACACTTAATTGAAAAATGCTAGGGGTACACAAGTTGTACACAACTTGTACACACAATGTCGGTCACAGACAATTGGTACGGAGTTGCCTGTGACCACAGACAAGAGTTGTTTGTGTACACAGACAAATTTTGTCTGTTTCCACAGACATTTACTTTTTTGTAAAAAAGTACACTGAGAGCCGCCTGACACTGACAAATACTTTTTACAAAAAAGTAAATGCCCGTGAAAACAGACAAAATTTGTCTGTGTACACAGACAACTCTTGTCTGTGGTCACAGACAACTCCGTACCAATTGTCTGTGACCGACATTGTGTGTACAAGTTGTGTACAACTTATGTACCCCTAGCATTTTTCTATAAGTTATAGGGTTCTGCTGAGCATTGATGGTGTATCCGTTAGATGCTTAAAGAGTTTCAAAACACTAAATAAACATCATCATCCTATGAATCTTGTGGAGGGCTCATATTGGTTCTTATTGCTAACAACCCAAATAGAAACCAACATACGTTATTTTAGATTGTTTTATATAAACAAAACTCGAAATCAAAATGATACATGTTTTGTCATTGAGTTTATTTCCTCTTATTCAACTCTAACAATATTTTTAGCAAGTTTTCTACAATATCTAAACACTCATCTAAGAATTAGTATGATTCGAGGAGATCATAAGCGGGGACACAATTTTATGACATAGGCATTAGAGCTATTTTCGGGACGAGAAGCGGGAGCACTTGCCCTTGTGTCATCCCCTTGTGCCCCCTAGTTCCTCCCCTTGTAGTGTACACAATTACAAATCAATCCTTCACTTGTATCATTGCCATCATCATCATTATCATTGCTCCAATGCCGTAAAGGCTCCCACCTACGGTAGGGTAAGAGGGGGTCGGATGTACGCAATCTTACCCCTGTACTAAAGCACAGAGAGACTGTTTCAGGATGACCCAAAGTGAAAAACAATCTAAAATTGCATGGACTGGCTGCTGCTTCATAACAAAGAAGTGACAGACAATTTAATGAATAATTTTGCTTTATGCCATCATATTTTCAAGTCAAAAAATAGTGAATCATTAGCTCCATTGGAAACGATGGAAATCTTCACTTATATCATTGTAATTAAGGAAAATATATTTTGTTTATTGGAGTGATTATATTAGAATCATACCATATAGAATACGTCTCTGATTATATACATACCACAACATATCAATGGAATAGACATACAATTTCAATCTAGAAGCTGTCCTTTCTCTAAACTCTAAAGTTTCAAATAATCATTTAGACTTTTTTTTTTTATCGATTCTTCGATAGCTGAGGCAGTGAATCATTCTATTTCAAAGATACAAACAGAATTGGAGTGTACATAATTCTCTCCTTTTTGTGTGCACAACCTGACTCACAAATGGTATGAAAGCGAGTCCTTACTTTACGAGTTTAACCACTCTAAGGGATCCTCTGTTTGTGTCTATCATTTACAAAGAATTCTGATTGTTCACAAAATAGTTTCTCAAAATATTTTATTTGCTTGTCTCACGTCTTTGAAATTCAATACTTTTATTTTCTTTGGGATGAAAACCGCTAACCTGTAGTGGTTTAAAATAGAACAGAAATGCCCTGATCCATTTCAAGTGTGTGTGAAGGTGGAAAGAACAACAACAAAATTATGAAATTAAACTTAAATTGGAAAAATATTATACTCAAGATGAAGTTGTTATTAGCTCCAGAAATTTTATCTCCAGCTGTTTTTCTCTCTTGAGTTGTGTAATGTATACAAGGAGTGGACCGGGGCCGGACCATCCCAGTCCATCCCTTAAGAGTATATATAAGTTTTAGATGGTAATCGTTATGCTCTCTTTTTTAAGTATATAAAGATATAGATTATAAATTGTGATATTAGAGAATTATATAGACACATTATAAGTTTCTGAAACGTGACATTTGAAATTTTCTTTTAATGTAAACAAGTTTTTCAAACTCTTTTAAAATGTAAATTAATGGGGGAACTGTGAATTGACCCTCATACAGTCATACTTTACTGAAAATGCTAATTCAACCCTTACTCTAAAAACACCTAATTAAACCCCGGAATTCTAAAAAACAACGAAATCTCACATTTAGGTATCATATTCCGATTTTCCGATCATTTTATACGTATAAATTTTTTGGAAATATGAGGATGCAAGTGGGGTTGGTGACGATAATGAAATATAACGAAGAAAATAACAACTGAGATGAATACCTGCACGCTGCTGCTGCTGCTATTAAGCTACGTACGTAATAAATAATTAATAAAGAAGTGCAAATTTGGAGCTGTACACATCGATCTACTGTACTAACTAATCAATCAATTAATTAATTAATGGTCCACTCCAACAGTAATAATCCCGCCCGAAGCCTAACTCATGAAAATGTGGGATGATGAGTCACGATGACCTGGCAAACGAGGTGCTTGTAGTTGTGTCCCTCCTCCCTGTCATCTTCAAAACACCTGTAACGCAAGCACCACCGTATATACCATTTCCATCAATCAATGTAAATAGAGAAATGCTTGGTGTACACATTTAATCTACATTCGTCTGTCTCACGCACACAGAATTATCTATCCACAGACAATTCTAATGCAGAATTGTCTGTGAACAGACAATTCTGTGTGCGTGAGACAGACGAATGTACAAAAAATGTACACAAAAATGTGTACACCTAGCATAGTTCATGCAAATAACATATAGAGCCCGTTTGGTAGCACCAAAATCGGCTGTTTTGGCTGATTCTGCTGAAATTTATGATATTCTGGCTGGAGTGGCTGTTTTGGCTGATTCTGCTGATTTAAGAAAAAAAAATTTAAAAATATATTTTATTAATAAATTAAAGAAAAAATTATATGTAAAAATAGCTAAAATGGTCCTCTACAGTAACTTCAGCCAATACAGCCAGAAAAGTAACTCCAACCTTACTTTTTCGGCTTATTACACAATTCAGCGCGCGAAAGTAAAAGTTACGTGTTTGGTGAAAAAGCTGGCTGATAAGCCTGATAAACCGAAAACAGAGTTCTCCAAACGGGCTCATAGTGCCATCTTATACTAGAAATAATGACATAGTAGTAGTAATAATACTATCCCTTGGATACAAATAAGACCGATTTTTAATTTGGATAAAAAAAGAGATTAATTACATGTGAATAGAAAAAAAGCACTCTTAAATTATACAAAAGACAGTTTCCAGGTTTAGTGTTGATTTAGTCACATTCTTGAAATTAAAAGATGTTTTTTTTTGTCGAAAACTTACTTTTTAGTAATAATAATGTCAAAATATATCAGTCCGTTACAAATTGTTGTATGGCGCGTAATTTTATTTTAACTTGGCACGGGACTGTTACTATTTAATTAAAAAAAAATCTACTCCGTAAAGAAAGATTATTAACCAAATGGAGTAATAATCCCAAACCCTAATGCTTTTATGGTTTAGCTGATTAAATCCAAGTTCCTCAAAATACGGATTACCCAGAAACAATGTCAGGAGAACTCGAGGGCCATAAAGTAAACCTCAACCTTCCTATTTGGATTGGAATCTCCCTTCACACCATCATTCCCTCCCTCCCTCCCTCCCTCAAGTCAAGTTAAATTGGATTGGATTTGTTAATGAAATCAATCGATTTGGTACCCAAAGTATCGAATTAGATTATGTAAGTATGTATTGGAATTTGGAATAATCAATCAATGAAATTAATTAATTTAAAAGGAAACAGAGCAAATTAAATCGGGGGATGGGATTGAGAATTAGAGATGATATATACCGGGGGCTTGGGCGTTGCAATCGGGCGGATCTTCAAAGAGGGAGAGGGAGAGGTGCTTGTGAGCCAAGCCGATGTCCAGGAAGATGAGGCCGGAGGCGGGATCGTGGACGACGACGCCCTTGACCGGGAGCCAGACGAAGAGCTCCTCCTGGGAGAAGCCCTGGACGCCGCCGAGGCCGCCGTGGGTGAGGTTGGCCCGGACCACGCTGTCGTACCGGGCCATGGTGTCGAACTTGGTCAGGCACGGGCCTTCGAGGAATACTTCTAGCAGCCCCGTGTCCGACAAGCTGTAGTTGCTCACCTGCTTCGGGAGAAGCCCGCCCGGAAGTCCGTACGACCTGAGCAGATCGTGGACGGCGGCGGAGAGGCAGCCGCCGGGTATCGCCAGCAGGAGGAAGAGGAGGAGAGATAGCGCCACCACTCTGGCTTGCACACTCGCCATGCCTTAGCTTGTGTCTTTTTTAACGCCCGCACATTTTCATCTCTCTCTATATATTTATTTATATGTACGGGATATGTTTTTGTAATTGCTGATTTATTTATAATTATTATAATTATTGTGTGAAATCCGATAGAAAGAAGGTGCTGGGTTTACAGAATTACAGTTTACAGGATTGAAGATGATGGTAGTAGGAACATGAGAATCACACCGGAGTAAATGCGTTTTTTCCCCGAAAAGACAACCTTTTACTCATTTCTGCACATTCATACCACAACTATAAAAGAAAATAATCTGACTTGATTGAACCTAGCTGATTGATTTATGCAGGCATATACTAGATACTTCTATCACTCTCCACCCAAAAAAAAAAATCTCATTTCGTAGATATTCAAAAAAAAAAAAGTTCTCATTTCCGTAGGAAATAACTTCAAACAAAAAATCACAACTATTCTTGTTTTTATATACTTTTTGTTATATTTGACATAAAGTAAGGGTATTCTTGAAAAGTCAAACAAAAATCTACCCCCTCTGTCCCACTATGATTGTCCCATTTTACCTTTTCGGTCTGTCCCACTATGATTGTCTCATGCCTTATTTGGTAAAATTTGTGTGACTCTAAATCATTCCTACTTTATTCTTACTTTATTAAACATAAACTTAGGGGGACGGAGATAGTATTTTACATAAATATACGTGTACGTCAAATCGGGAATTTCATTTCGGAACGAAGGGAGTAATTTACTTTTTGATTTTTTCTTTAAATACGATTAAATTCAAGTCAATTTCCAAAAACAATGACCACTTTTATATTTAGACAAAAAATTGACTATTAAAGTTATATTTTTTGAATTATTTGCCTCAAACCATCGACAAACGGCCTAGTTGTCTAGTTTCGCAGGGGTTGACGACTGAGGCTCTCCAAGTCGTAGCAGATTTGTTCGGCGTTTTGGGGCAAACTCTGTTTTCACGGATTGGAAGACGGATTGTATGGATTCGAAGCTGCAGGTTGCGATGGAAGGGCATAGGTATTCCCAAGCGGTAGCGATTGAGATGGTTACGAGGAAAGGCAAGTTTGATGAACTAGATCAGATTTGATATCAGTTGATCTTGGAGGAGGAAGATGAAGTTTTATTGGTTAACTTTGCTCGAAGGTGGCTCAAGTTTGCTTTACGTTATCTAGTTTTATCCACATTATATTTAACATTTAGGTCCAATACTATGTTTTTATTTCTTTTGTTGCGTCTGAGGTCAAACACTATACTATCTGTTTTGTGGTTTTAGATTTTAGTTTGGGAGGTAGCAATCAGGTTAGTTTGGCGGATAATAGCTTTAAATCTCTCGCATGTACAATGATTAGTCTTACTCATTATTGGGCAGTCTATTCTATGCCTGATTAGGAAGTGAGAGGGCCGATTGGTTGTAAGGAGTCTAGAGGAAATGTTTGGGGTAGTCAGAATGTTGGATGTCACTTACGGATGTCAACGCTACCGTGAATCATGTCATTGTGATAGTTGAAAAAATTTGGTTGTTTAAAAAAAAGTAGAAAAAAACATTGAGTATTCCGGCGACTTTTCTAGTAGCGGATCCCGACAACTTTTCTGGTGGCTGTTTCCGGAAACTTTTCTGGTTACGGATCCCGCCATGGCTGGCTGGACATGTGGGGGGAGGTGGTTAGGGCAGATATTTGAAATATATTACAATAAAACATTGAATTGATTAAATAAAACGTTAATCATATTTTTAGAAAAAAAGAAAAAGAAAAAAGAAAAGTAGTCACTTTTTTTGTATTTCACAAAGCTACAAGCAATATTCGTGTTCTTATTCATTATTCTCTTTAGATCATCTCATGTTAGGCTTCATGTCCAACAAAATTTAACCAATTTCCCTTATTAAATGTCTCCTCCATTTGTATAAGTTCTTTTATTCCAACAAATATGTTCTTAGTGTTATTTCTCTCTTTTTCACACAAATATGCTCTTAGTGTTATTTCTTAGTTTATCCTCGAAATCGCTCAATAAAGTACAAGCAACTCACCAGGCTCGTATCCTCATCCGCTCAACGCTTTGCAAAACACAAGGCAAAACAAAGAAAGAGGAATTATATCTATCATATTAACATAAAGCAGGAGAAAAAGAAGTTATATGCAACAAGCATTCATCTATTAGTGAGTTTAGTAATGTTGGTTAGAAAGGCATAGAGGCCCAATACTCGGCTCACAGACCGAAAACATTCTATGCAAATCACCTACCTACAAGGTCGCTCCACCTCCTTTCCGGCGCTCACAGAGCAACCAAATAATCAATAACTTGGTGTTTGACCTACTCAGGATCTTCCATCATCTTGGGGGGGGGGGGGGGGGGGCAAGGCAACCATGTCAAGGTAACGAATGACCGAAGCATTTCCCTGGACAAAATTGCAGTGGTCGGGATTGTAATTAAAGTATTGCCCGTTGGCGACATGAAGGTAGCCAGAACATGGAGTGAGGGAGGAGAGCATTAATCTCCACCTAGGGCCTACGCAATCTTTCTATTCTTCAATACATGCCAATAATCCCCCTCATCACCTGTGCACTTCTTGCTCCACCTGAGGAAACCCTCCCTCCTCATCAGAGGTATTCACGGCATGCAACTCCAGCTCCGACTATGGCTCTAGTACAAGTTCTGACTTCTTCTCTGGCTCGAGGACTGGAACTAGCTTCTATGAATTTACGGATGCCTTTGTTCATTTAATGGGGAAAAGAACGCTCACTAAGATGACATTCCGGCACAAGTCAAAGGCAAAAAACATAAGGCAATAGAACTATTTAAATTAAACCAACAATAGTCAAAGAGTATACCATGTAAAACTGGGACCTGCCTCTACTATCCCAGAAGCTGCACTCCTCCCCTCCCCCTGGGCCTTCTCTTTAAGACAAACCCCCCATCAGACACGAGGGATTCCTCACCAGCGAATACATTCAGGACTACCTCCGAGCTCCTACTTAGAGGGAGACATATAAGTGTCTGCCCTCTCAATCTCTCATCATCATCACCTCCACCACCACCTCCACCACCACCATCATCGTCTTCGTCGTCATCATCATCATCATCATCGTCGTCATCGTCATCAAAGGATGAGCTATCCTACTTATCAGAAGAGTCCCTTCTTTCTGCACATCTTCGGCAGCTTAACCAATAGGCTATTATAGCCCTTAACACCTGTTGTCCTTTCCCAGCTTGTTCTCTTTCCTCCTCCCCTGCTTGCTCATTCGACATTGTCTTACTTTCCTCCTCCCATGCTTGCTCATCCGAAATTGACTTACTGTTGGAAAACCGGATGTAGCCAAGCTTCACCAGCCTCTTCTCCTTTATGTAAGAGCGGATATCATCGCTTGCCTTCACAAGCAAAGTCTTGCATTGCTTGGGGAGGTAAACTGCAAGAGGGGCTCAGTGACGGCGGAATAAGCTGAGAAAGTATAAGGATGGTGTTTGGGCTCGGTAATGCATGTTATCTATATCTGAATATTTTATTAGAAATTTTATGGAAGTCTTCATGGATAACTTTTATATTTTTGTGATGCTTTTGAGGATTGCTTAGAGAATAGACAGTATGTCTTCACTAGGTGTAAAGTGTTGAATTTGATACTTAACTAGGAAAGGTCCAATTTCATGGTACAAGAAGGCATGGCCTTAAGGCTTAAGCCATAAGATATTGAGCAAAAAGGTTAAGGTAAATCCTGTTAAAGTAGCGGTAATTCCCAACCTACCTCCCCACACCTCTGTTTGTGTTATTCATAGTTTTGGGGCCATGCCGTCTTTTACTTTATATAATTATATTCATTCAGGACTTCTCTAGAAGTCCCGACTCTATTTGTGTTATTCTTAACTTCCTGATATCAACTATTTGCATGGATGCAAATTGGTCACGTAAATCAGATACAAACTTAATTCAAGTTATGCAACTGATTTGATTGCAAGTCAATATTGTCCTAGGAAAACAAACAAGTAGAGCATTTGTGAAATGGATATTCTTTGTTCCCAACTAGCAGTAAAGGTTTATGTTTGTAACTGAGATTCTGAGAATGTTTTCCAATTAGAGTAGTATCTAATATTTATCACCTTAAATATTTTTAGGCCACTTTTGGAGATATTGAGTAACTGAAGATATTTCCAACTAGAGGACAATGGACTGAGTAACTGAACACTTCACAATATAGCGTTCAATTCACTACCAAAATATAAGCTCCAACGTGCACTACAAATAGACTTGTTGAATTGGAATACATACTACTCTGTACATGCAAGGCCCACAATCTTCTTGAGAAACTATGAAATGTTTTCATGATACAGTTTCTAACCCCAAACCAGGGATGGCCAGGTCTGGTTAGGATCACACTACGAATTTATAATAGGTGGGACGAGAATCTTAACCTGGTATACTATTCCTGTTTGAGTTCACGGGTGGACTCCAGTTCTGTCTCATTGTGGTTCTTTAGCCTATTTTTTACAAAAAACAAGACCAGAACAAGTATCCTATTTTAGAGCGAACGTGACTATAATTGGCTTGGAACGGTTTACAGTACTAGATCTGGTCTGGAACAGGAAATCGGATCCTGTTTCCAAGCAAAATAAACAACCGGTCCGGACCAAGTTCTGGGACCATGACCAGTCCACCCTACTCCAAATCTAATTTTCAACACTTTCTAAGAATAACTCGGAAATACATCAGGGCACACATTTATGTGATACACAAATGACAACATAAAAAGTTTAAGAAGCCATCAGAAAATGATCTAGACAAAACCTCATTAAAGAAAGAAAGTATTGCTTATAAAATGTATACTACAAGTGACCAAATGTAACATAAAAGTTAAAGGATTATTCAGACTATGAGAATACAACACCGAATTTCATCTGAAATTTAACACCAAAATCGAAACTTCAATGCTCCGAGACAAGGATAGTTCCAACTCAACTTACCAGCTGAACTTGTTGTTAGTGATGACAAGACTACCTCAAAGATACTTCGATCATAGTCAAGGCCAGATGCAATAGCCACATTACTTGGATTT